TTGTTTATTAATTTAAATTAGAATTTTACTTTGATAATCTACTGTAATATTAAATACAAATATTAATATAAATTTTAATTTTAGTTGGTAAACAACAATAACAATACGTAAACAACATATAAATTGTTATCCAAACTAGTAGACGTTACTTACTTTCAATTAATTACACAAGCATCAATAATAAAAATCAGCTGGAAAAAAGCTATGCAGATTATTCCCAATGCTAGTACTGCCCTTATTGAATAACTTGGTATGCACATAATTACCGAAGTAAATCTTTCTATATACTAGCAACCATAGTAAAAGCTCAATATATATGAGCAGAATCCACTCTCAATTAGGTGGTATAAGACTAATTAATCAGTGAAAGAACTAAGAGAGAGTGAATAGGTTCTCATGGTTGAATAACAGTAAAATTATAAAATTAATCAACTAAAATAATAATTATAAAATAAATGAGCACAAGGAGAGGAGAAAGGTGCATAGTTAGCTTATCCTAGTTCAGTCACAATGTGTGACTTATGTCCAGTCTCCAAGCAATTGCTTGAGATTTTTTTTCACTTCATAATGACTCTTTGTTAATAAGGATTTTGACAAACCTTCCTCTACCTTCTTTAAACCCTAATTCAAAGTAGAGTGCATTGTGATTTCTTTCTCTAAGGATACCACACAAACCTTCCTCTATCTATAACAGATATAGAGTATAACAATATAGTTTCTTTCTCCAAAGACATCATAAAGGCCACCTTTTATCTTTATTCAAAACAGATTAATGCTCTTATATTTGAGTTATGATAAAGTTGAAACTCTATCTCAAGATTAGCAAGTTAAAGCATAGTGAAGAGGATGAGTAGAATGGAGTAGATATTTTCTTTTGATTTTTGTTTTAGCTTATCTTCTGTTTTTTCTTCCATGGGTCATCTTTATATAGAGTAATTCCCCATCAATTGTTAATCATTGGAGAGTAATTTTGAGTAGCAATCATCTTTGGAACTAGCAATCAAATTATCTTAAATAAAATACTCAAATCACATTACCTTGTATAAATATGCTCAAATATTACCTTAAATAAGAATTCACAAATTAAATTATCTTACATAATGATATTCAAATAAACGAGGAAAGAATTCATTAACTCTCATTTCAATATCAAACTCATTATATACTTATTTTAATCACGTATACAAATATCATATACTTAAAATGTATTCATCCTCAACACATAGCAAATCTAACAATTAAGATCGAGAAGGTTCCATTTTAACGCACAACGATTATTATATAAAACAAAACTTAGGTGCAGTTGTTTAAGTATTATTAGTGTGTACTGATAAAAAAAAAAAATTAGTGTCTATCTCAATAAGCAATGGTAAGATTAAATATAAATATTTTATTAACATAAAACTATAATTTTAATTAATAAACAATCAATACTAATCATTCTTAAAAAAATAACATATAAATTTCATTATGTTATACATAATAATTCTTAAAATTATATCAGTACCCAAAAGTTCTGCCTTCTGGAATTGTAGTTTTTGCTTACCAACAATATTATATGATCTTATGCACCAGCTCTTTACAAAAAGTGATCAAGACTTAGGATCCAAATTACAACCAGCTTGTGCTTTCTGAAAAAAAAAAGTAAAATAAAATTCTATAAACATATATGCTTATACTTTTGCTTATTTCATTTTGACCATTGACATCTTGGTTACAAAATTGGTTATTTTATTATATTTGCAGTTAGATTTCTATAACTAAAAACTTTTCTTCACACTGATGAATAAACTAATAGTATGTAAGTTGTTCTCAGTACCTGCAATTATTTGCCTATCAATAAGACGAGCAATATCACACTTAAAATTAAGAATACAAAGATATAAAATGTGAAACTAAAAGAAAGATTAGCATGAAATATATAATATAATGTTCTCAAGCTGTTTATCATAATTTTCACAATATGATTAGCCAACAAGTTGACATGCTTCTTATCCATATGTATTTGGATCAAATGTCTTACTTATTGCCAAGATATTCACAAAACACTGTGCCATCATTTCCACGCTCCAAGACAAGTTCTTTCCATATTAAACTATAGATTCTATTTAACACCGCCAATGATTAGAATGAATTAAAAAAGTGAAGTTCAGGGAATTTAAGATATAGTGTGAATTACCCTATACAAGGAGTAGTGCTGTAGAGCTTTTTCATTTTTCCAAAAAGTTTAAGTGAGTTGGCTTACTAAAATTAAGACATACCTCAGTTTAAATAGCTTTTATAAATATATTTCCAATCGATGATTAACACGTTTTAACATTGACAGTAAAATTATAGATTGAAATTTGGACAGCATATTTGTTTGAATTCCAATCTTGAAATTGTGCTTAAAAGTTAAAAACACGAAACTTAAATATGATGTTTTATTAACTAATAAATATAATAATAGTTCTTATTAATCTTTTTAATCACTGTTGTTAGGACAATGAGGATAATGAATAGAAAAACATATTCAAATTTTGTTATGAATATTTTTAAAATCTTTTTACAAGATTCTCTTATTAATCTAAGAAGTTTTGAAAGGATTTCTTTTACCATTTTTAAAATATTAAATACATTTATTTTTATTTTAAACTTTTCTTATAAAATAAAAAATATTATAAGAGAGTATTATACTATTCTTTATTATATATTTTTTTGTGTCACCATTATATATTTATTATACTGATCCTTGTTAGTGTCACTGTCATGCTACTTAGGCCAACATTTCTAGTTTGGTCTTCAAATCCAATGTTGACGTTAAAAATCCCATTAAGCAAGCTTGATATACCAACTACCTTTACTGGGTCCACACTGGAAAAATAAAAATAAAAGACACCCTGCCAAGAATGGCTTGCTACTGCAATCAACCTGCTTTTGGGCACTTAAATTAAAACATGTTTAATTTGATACAATATATTACAATTTAACATTTAAATTAAATTTAACTAATCATCTTAAAAAAATAAAAAATTTGTAAGTAAAATTAGATAATTAACATAAAAGAAGTCACTTAATTTGATATACAACAATAACTTTAATTTTTTTTAAATATATATACATAAATTTTTTAACTTATATAATATTGCACGTGTTAAAAAATTGATAATAATAATAATTATAATAATTTTTGTTAAATATTATAAAATTTAATATAATTAAATAAATTCATGCTACTATATATATATATATATTCTTATGCACATGTAAAAAAATATCAATACGTTTAGTTTGATACAATATATTGCAATTTAAAATTAAGTAACCATCTTTAAAAGGTATTGTAAATAAAATTAGAGAATTAAGATAAAGAAGTCAGTTAAGTTGATATAAAACAACTTTAAAAATGTATTTTTAAAATAAAGATATATATATATATATATATATATATATATAATATAATATTATACAATATAAAAAATTATATTTAGTAATTTTTATTAAAAAGTTATAAAAATTGTAACATATTGGAACATCCCATAATATTCCATATTTGATTGTCCTGTTACTTGTTGGATGGGTTATCATTGCAAAGGCATATTCGTATTCAAGTTGGTTTGATACTCATAGAGAGTTCTGAGTACTCACCAAATCAACCTGAGAGACATGACATCAATGGTGTGCAGTTACCATTTAACAAATGAAAGTATTATCACAGTGCTATTAATCTAACAACGTTACCTTAAAATGTGAGCGCAAATTGCATGCATAATTGAGAAAGAGACAAGATGTTCAACGACCAAGGTAACTGAGAACTCTTCATAAATGAAGGAAGTTGGTAAGTGATGAAGGAAGTTATTCCTCTTCAGTTTCATGCATAATTTATTATAATTAGCTCTAAAGCTGTGACAAATGTCTCCCATGCAGTATATTAACTCTTCATTGTTCTGATTGCTAATTAAAATTAAAATATTATTTTATTACTTTATAGATTATAATTATAACTAATAAATAACTCTACAATACGTACGAAATAAAACTTAAATTTTATTTTAAAATATACTAAACCTGATCCTTGTTATAAGATATTTTCAACTAAATTACACAAATTAATATAAATAGTTGAAGCTAATAATTTTTTAAAAAAAAAATCATTGCACACTAATTTTGCTCTTATTTAATATTATTGTCACTAAGTTATCAATCAACATTTATTTTTTTTATTTTAATTTAGGTTCTCATCAACTCCACTTTTTAAAAATAAATAATAATTTTTTTATATATAAACTATAAAATGTTTTGAAAAAAATCACTAAAACCTTCTGATAGCCTTTAGATTAAGAATATAAGCTTTAACTAATAATGCTATATTTATGTCCATTTTTTAAAATTTTAATTTTTATATAATACTTAAAAATAATAGATACTAAAATATGTAATTTTTAAAAACTTATAAAAATATGCAATTCAAAAATTTAAAATAAAAATTAAAAGATGATACAACTAAAAATTATAAAATACTAAAATTTGTCAATAGTGATTTAAAAAATAAATAACACTTTTTCAGCTTCTGAAATTTATCAATATAAAAATAAAAATTGTCAACAATAATTTTTTTAAAAATTAAACCATAAAAAAAGTAGCTGATTTTGAAAATTTTGTGTTCTTATAGTTTTTTTTTCCTAAAATCCTAAATTTTAGTATTTAAAATTTTTCTCATGGAAAAAAAAAACCAATTTTAATGTCATTCTTGTCAAATAAAAGTGTATTTAAATTAAGATTTAATTAGTTATTAATTCATGTTTATTTCAAATTTGTAACAGTAATTTCTGCATTGCATTGACGTTTACAAATACTTGCAAAATCGTTTGGATGATATCTGGTCACAGCTTGGTATATACACATCATCTCTGAAGAAAGGCTTTCTTGTTATAACATCGATCATCTAAAGGCCTCAATCAAATATGATCTGTGATCCAATTGTCACTAATTAATTAGGATATAGAGAAGATTTAACTTTCAAATTTCAATACACAAGGATTTTTATGATATAGACCACATTCATAAAATTATATTGGTACCCAAAAGTTCTACCTTCCTAGATTACAACTAGTTCTGCTAAGAACACTATGTTTTCTTACTCGCTTTCTCTATAAAAAGGGAACAAACTTGGGACCCCAGATTGCAATCAACCACCCTGTATTTATTTTATTATTGAATTAGAGGATTCTACTTCCGTTTCGCATCGGGAGGAACATGCGGTGGACTAGGCTGGTCCCCATTAACACCATCAACCTCAACCATTCTCCTATTGCGGTTAAGGTACCTCCTCAAATAAAAGTTAAGAAACAGCATAAGAACCGCAAAGTTGAGCACAGAATTGAAGACCCAGGCGCCAATCCCATTACACCCACCTCTGAAAAAGAAATGCTGTAAAAATACTCCAACATGGCACGCCACGTTGCAACTCAGCAACAGAATCTGGCAATTGAGCACGAATGGGAAGCACGCGCCGCGAAAACCTATGGCAGTCCAGAACCTGTAACCGTAAACAACAGCATACCCCAGCGTTGCAAACAGAATTGCGAGAATCTGAAACGATTGTGAGAACTCGAGCCAGAGGAAGGACACAAGGATTGAGATGGAGTGGTTGAAGAGCTGAAAAAACGACAGCTTACGACGTCTTAGGATGGAAATGAATGTGCGAAACACGTGGAGGAAGCGGGAGAGGTAATATATGTACGACCAGAAGAAGACGCGGCCTGAGGGTCGGGTTCCGAGGGGGAAACAGAGGAGCCACTCAAATGGGGTTTTGGAGCGCTGCCAGAACCAACGAGTGTCGCGGATCTCGGCAACGGCGGAGAGTAATATTCCAGCAAAGATGGTGGCAGAGATGAGGGACATGGAGAGGCTGTGGAGGGCGGGAAGAAAACCAAGAGGGATAGGGCGATGGCGGCCCAAGAGGAGTGAGAGAAAGAAATGAAGGAAGAGAGAGAGGAAGAGATAGGAGACTATAGAGGAGAAGAGGAAGGACCATGTGGAGCCCCAAGATTCGGTGTGGCTCCATCTGAACCCCACGATGGCGGGGTGCTCCGATAGGTAGAAGATTGCCAGCGGCCGCACCTTCAGCATAGGGTCGGGTTCACATGCCTTGTTGAGTTGAGTTGAGCTGAGTTTTGTTGGAACTTGGGAGAAGGCTGGGCTCGGAAACAGAGAGTATGAATGGAGAGAAAGGAATTGAGGGATTGGAAAGTGCTGTTGTTAAGATATTAAAAACAAGGTGGAGAAGATTAGTGATTACGTGGCCGAGTGTCGTTGGAAAACGAGCTTAAGTGTACGATCATTCGTGTGTCACATGCTAATTAAAAATTATTTGAAGGTTACAATTTTTTTAGCTACTTTTCATGGTAAGAAATTCTCCACTCAAGTCATTTGGGCCCGCCATGGTTTTAATATTATTTTTTTAACCTTTTATTTTGCGATGTTTTTATTTTTAAAATAATAAATTATAATTCATACAAGTTTTAATGAAAGTATATTTTAAATTTTGTATAATTTGTTAAATAATAGATATTAAATTAATTTTTTAATTTATATAATATTACATAAAATAAAAATTATGGAATTTAATAAATTTATTTAAATATTCTGATTTTTCATCAAAGTTTATTTAATTATATTTTATGTTATAGATGTTTCTATTTATCTGTCATAGTGTTATTATTCTGTTAGTGTCTCCTTTTTAATACTTCTTTTTGGTACTTTTATATAAAACACATTTAATTAAATTACATATATTAAAAGAGTGTTGAAATTAGTTAATCTATTGGTTTAAAATATTTTAAATTTATTCTTATCTAAAAATAAAATTTATTAATATATTAATTGTCAATAAGTTAGAAATGTTTAATAATAAAAGATAAATATGACAAAAAATAATTTTATTTTTTAAATTTTGTAACAAAATACATTAAAGATCAATAAAATATTTTAAAAAATCTTCTAAAGAATTCAATGAAGTACTAATAAAAATAGTCTAAGAATTAAAAAAATAACTAATTGATAAAGGATTAATTAAAAGTTTCAGCAACTAATTCTAATAAAATAATTAAATTTTTATCCTTATAAACTTTTTTTTATACAAATAAATAAAAATAAAAATAGTACAATATAAAATATTAAAATGTATAACAAAGTTATTAGAGTTACTAAAATAATTAATATGTATTAAGTTATGTATGTTATATAATAAATGACATGTAAAGCTTTGTTTGAGACTTATATCTATGAAGGGAGGGGAGGAGAGGAAAAAGAAGGGGTCAGTGGAAATTAATTTTTGTTTGAGAGTGGCTAAAGGGTTTTTTTTTTTAAATCCCAAAACTGTACTAAACTTAATTTGTGAGTTTTTTTATTTTGGAGGATTTTTTAAATAAATTTTTAAAATGAGAATTTAGGATAAAAAATATTTTTTTAAAAAAAATTAGTTTTTACAGTAAAAATATTTTTAAAAATTATTAAAAATAAAAATATTAATTTTAGAGGGAGAAAAATTATATAATTTGTGTATTTTTTGAAAAAAATTAAAAAAAGAATAGTAATAAATTAATTTTTTAAAAAAAATTATAAAAAATAGAAATATAAATTTTAAAAATATTAATTTTTAAAGGAAAAATATTTAATTTTTGTATTTTTTGAAAAAAAAGTAAAAAAAATAAATAAATAAAAGATATAAAAGATAATAATGTCATTTATATTATTAACCCTCTTATCACTCTCTTCTCTCTATATTAAATATCCAAATAAGAGAGAAGTTTAATCTCCTTTTCCTTCCCTCCTTCTCCCTTCAAAATATTTCTCCCTCCCTTTAAATTCCTAAAAAAAGCCTAAATGAATCATAGATAGAATTTTGATAAGTAACATACATGTGTTTAAAAAAGAAAAAAAATTATCACTAAATATATGCTTCCATGAATGTATCTTACAATATTTAGATATTTATATTTATACTTATTATTTAGATTTTAGTTAAATAAAATAATTTTTAAGGTTTCTTTTTAACAATCAAAATATTTATGCCATGTTTGAGAGTTGTGTTTAGGAGGTGAGGAGAAGGGAAGCGTTAGATGGAGTTAACTTTTATTTAAAAATTACTTAATTAAGAGGAGAAAGGTTTGACAATTTTTTAAAATCTTTTAAACTCCTCATAACCCTAATTTTTGAGTTCTTCCATTTTAGAGGGTTTTTTGAGTTCCTTCATTTTAGAGATTTTTGTTTTCTTTCTCACCCTCTTGTACTCTTTTACGACTAGGATTCTAACTTTCTTTTGAGAATTTTTTACAAATATAATATAAAAAAATAAAAATATTAAAATGGACTTCTGCTACAAATATTTACCAAATTGAACCTTTTTATTATTGAGGTACAAAATTCGTGTTCCCGGAGACCAAATTTTGACCTTTTATTTCATGTGCTTGGGATAACTTTGTTGATGGAATTCGGTAACCGAATTCCGAACAGAATTTTAATTTTTTTGTTTTTATATAATAAAAAAATATTATGTAATATTTAATGTTTATATAATTATATATTGTCAAATTTAATAATAAAAATATTGTTTTAAATAATAAAACAAATTTTATTATTTGAATTATATTTTTATTTTTATATTATGTAAAAATGAATATTTATATTATGTTAATTTGTGTAAAATAATAATTATATATTTATATTATGTGAAATAATAAAGAATATATTGAATATGTATTTGAATTTAAAAAAAAATATTTGTATATCAAATTAATAAAAATAATAAAAAATATTTGGGTATATATTTATTTGAATATGTAAATGATAAAATATTTTTGAATCAGTATTTTATTAAATTAAAAAAAATTGTATATAAGATGAATAAAAATAATAAAGAATATGATGTAGAAATTTAAAAGTATATTTAAAAGAAATTATAATTTATTAAATATTTAATAATAAAAATAACACATAACACAATATTGATAACAACATTCATTAGTGATTTTCAGTATCACTATCTCCGTAATGATGTCTAGTTTTACAACGAGAACGATGTCTGTTACGTGTTGGGTTTCGTCGTTGTGGTTGATATTGTGGAAATTCAGGATAAACTTGTGGAGGATTATCAAGTTTTAGTTGTTGGAATGTAGCTGAAGAACTACCATGTTCATTAGAAAAATCTGATTGATAAAGAGACTGCATGTAACTTTGTACTGAAGATGGAGTTGTAAAATCAACTTCAAATAAGTTTGTAAAAAAATCCTCTGAAGTTGTTGCAAACGAATGTCTTGTGTCCATTATGTTTGCATGTGGTGTGATATCCAGTGGAAGAATTGATGCAGTCTCGTGATACAACAGTATGGAAATCGTATCGGTGGCAAATGTTATAGTAGTGTTTAACTGTTGGTGGCTCCTCCTTGGATCTTGTAGTAGTGGTGACACAGATAGAAAATAAATGAAATTGGCAATGTACCATTCCATGTAATCTCGTGTGTGACACAATGGACCTGACATTGGATGACCCGTTAATGTCAGGTCACGTCTATTGTTCCACACATCAATCCATCGAACATGTCTTGTGATCCAATTTTCATCCTGCCTTCCTCTCATGTCAATTGTGTGGAGATCATGCAAATTATTGGGTGGACAAAGGACTTCTTGTAAGAGCCAAGACTGTAATTCCACTCTATCTAATTGGTGTCATTCAACAAATGTAAAACAAAAGATAGCGGTACACAAAGTCCACATTTGGACATCTCTGTAAGCTTCCATAGGCATTGATGTTAGCAATTCTTGATATGGTGCCCATAAAAACTACAAATAAAATTAACTTTGTTAAATAAGATAATATATAAAACAAAATAAAATAAGAAAAAAATTAAAATTTTATTTATGAAGATTTACCTGATTAGGTTGAATGTGGTCAAATATTGATCTGTACCCCACAATATCATTGTGAGGTTTATTCCGAAAGTTGAGGACTCTACCCCCGCTCCATCTCCACACTAAAGGGTATGTTGGTGGATTATTGGAAATTGGCACAATATATGGCATGCGATACCATGCCCAAGACATTAATAGTGATGCACAACCACCCATTATTTTGCTCTCAACTTCTGTGGCCCTACACATTTTCCTGTACATCATAGCTAAACAACAGACACCCAACTATATCTTCTAGTTCTTCTAAGATTAATTAATAAAGCTAAATACATAAGATGAACTTTGTTGCCGGTTTTGTCAGGCATCAAAATACCTCCAATCAAACCCAATATATATGCACTAACATGAGCGTGAACCTGCTGTTCAAATGGTTCATCTAGTAATGGCAACATGTTGTCTCTCAGCCACTTTAATTTCACCATAGAGCCAAAAGTGTCTCTCCCTTGACTGGCACGATACCGAGATATAAGTTACATATATCCTCCCAGTCAAATATTGTTGGAGCAATGACTGGTAATCCACCAATACTTAACCCAGTTGAAGTGCAATATCCTCCAGGGTTATGGTGCACTCCCTTGTTAGAAAATGGAACGTGTGAGTTTCAGGTCTCCACCTCTCGACCAAAACTGTTATCAATGCATGATCCACCTTAAGATGCCTTAGCTTCGCCACCCCAGCAAAACCAAGTTCTTCAAGTAAAGGAACAATTAGAGGATTGGGTTCTGGCATTGAATGACAGAAAGATAAAATCATGTTCTCAGTTTCCTACAGTTATTAACAAATTAGTAACATGATATGTAGATCTTGAAAAACATATTTATTAAAACTTACCGTTCTCCCAATGAAAGCAGACCTATGTTCGTTTTGCTTCCATAACAATATTTTTAGTAATGGGATTGAAGAACTTTTGAAACCTTTGGAGAAACGCATAACAAAGACAGATGCAGGTTTGAATAAAAACATATAGCCTTGATAAACATATTTATAGATAAACTTTGGTATGAGAGAGGTGCATGTGTGCATGGAGAAGTCACCATCACTCGTAAAACGTGTTTGGCAGAGGAGAAAGTCATTACTTGGGAGGAGAGAAAGCATGTGCATGTGGTGTCATGGAGAGGTCACTCTCACTTGTAAAACGTGGTGAAGCTTTGAATGAGAGGGAATCCAATGCTACCATTATAAATAGTTATGTAGATTGTTCATTTTCTTCATTCACCCTTGTAAGCTTGTTGCTTATTCTTGTGAACCTACTCCTTCTAAG